GGGTCACAGTCTCAGTTTGGGGTCACAGTCTGGGCTGAGGTCACAGTCTCAGTTTAGGGTCACAGTCTCAGTTTGGGGTCACAGTCTCGGTTTGGGGTCACAGCCTGGGTTGGGGTCACAGTCTCGGTTTGGGGTCACAGTCTCAGTTTGGGGTCACAGTCTGGGCTGAGGGTCACAGTCTCAGTTTGGGGTCACAGTCTGGGCTGAGGTCACAGTCTCAGTTTGGGGTCACAGTCTCAGTTTGGGGTCACAGTCTGGGCTGAGGGTCACAGTCTCAGTTTGGGGTCACAGTCTGGGCTGAGGGTCACAGTCTCAGTTTGGGGTCACAGCCTCAGTTTGGGTTTTCATGATATCATTATCCTGATAGGAGGGGGATGGGCACAATGCTGATGTAATGGAGCCGGGATGTCACCTGTGTATCCTCTCCATAGTGACCCCGCCCATGTCTCCCCCGGAGTCTTACCTGCACAGGTACAGAGGACAGGTGTCCTGACTTCACTGGCAGAATCCTTGGTCCAGGTCCATGGCTCAGTAAGTTCCTGCAGGGGGCACCACCACTCACATGCTGCGTGCGTCCTCCATTGCCCGCTGTGGGTGCGCGCTCCTACTATAATTATTACTAGCTAAAGTGTGCCCAGGACAGGCGAGGTTCGGGTGGAGAAAGCAGACGCAGTGGGCGGAGATAAAACACAAGCCAGTCGCCGGCTCTACTTAAATAAATAATTGTATTTGTGAAAACGAATGACATGAATTACAGGGACACGGAACGCACGGCACAGGAAATAAATAACACGGGAACAACACACGTCATCTGAACACCGATAAATATTTTTGCTTTCTTGGCTGCGACGATAATAAAAGAGGAAATTTGTTCTTTAGGGGGGAGAGTTGCGCTCATTACTTTCAACAGACAGAGGTGGGCGGAGTCACCTGCTGGCATCTTATATCCCCTCCCCCTCTATGGGTCTCACTCCTCCAGGTGTCCCAGTGAGATGCCTGGCAATGGGCGGAGTTGGGAAGGTTCCGGAGATGCAATAAGTCAGCGGGTCGTTCGGCCTGACGTCACCCGCCCGTCGCTGAAGTACGATGTCGCGCGGAGGCGTTTCAGACGCAGATCTCGATGGGCGTGGACGCCAACATGTTGGAATTGCTGTCTTTCGGAACGTCCTCGTAGCTGCTGCACGAAGAGAACGATAAGCTGGGGCTGGTGTCGGATTTATTGCTGTCGAGAGCGCTGCCGCTGAGGAACGGAAGACCTTGCGGTTTGGCGTGGGCATAGACGGCGTCGTTGTTGTTGTTGTTGGTTTTCGCGTCGCCTGTCGGCGGCGGCTCCTCCCTGCCGATCAGCCAATTCTTGCCGAAGTACCAGAGAATGTCCTTAATGGCGCACCTCTTCTCCGGCTCGATGGAGAGCAGCTTGCTGAACATTTTCAGGGCGTGCGGCGTGAATCGGCGCCACTGGGACGGCACGTTGGCGTTTTTGTATTTCTGCCACTGGAGGAATTCGTAATAGAAAGAGTCTGAGTGCAAAGCCTTCTCCCAGGGGAAGTTCCCGGTCATCATGCAGAAGAGCAGGACCCCGAACGCCCACACGTCGATGCTGTACTCCACCACAAACCCGCTGTGCTTGGAGGTCTCGCAAAGTTCCGGAGCCGTGTACGGGATGGTGCCGCTCACCCGCTTCTCCGACGTCCCCGCCATGCGGGTCATGCCGAAGTCGGAGAGCTTCACCTTCCGGCACTCTTTGTCGAAGATGAGGATGTTTTCGGGTTTGATGTCGCGGTGGACGAGCTTGCGGTGGTGGAGGTAATCCAAGGCCAGCGCCACTTGGTAGATGCAGCGTTTGGTGGTGTGCTCGGACAGTCCAACCTGCAGAGACGCAACAAAATGTCCAGAAAAGGAGAAATCAACATAAAATACATTGTGATGGAAGATTTCTGTCTGAGGAGAGGTGACACCGGCGGATGGGGGCACTGGGGGCATCTCGCCCGGGTGGGAAGACTCCACCAAGAGTTTCACCTGATGTGCCCATCTAGAAACAGACACATGGGGGGGGAGGGAGAGGGGTTATATCTCCTGGAACGTTCCGGAACCAGAACTGCGTTTGCTGCTACAGACCTTCTACATCCCGAGCTCTATACTCTACAGGGATTCTGGTGGGATCCAGTTGTGCCGGAGACAATGCCACCTTTCCTCTGATTATGATGATGACCTTGCTGGAAATGAATGGGAATCCCCAGGAAGGGCAGTCCGGGGCTAAGGGAAGTATGTAGACACCTGACCATCACATCTACTATAGGGCTAAAAGTATGTGCCCCCTACCCCTCCAATGGTGGAGTTCAGGTGTCACCAGTTAAGTTTCTGGTAATGCTAAGTTATTATAGACAGTTGGGATCTTCCAGCCTTGTGGTCACAGTTTGGTGAAGCCCCTTTTCTGTCCCCCCCCCCCCCCATGACTGTCCCCTGTGTACAAAGCTCCATACAGACATGGGGGGACCAGCACAGAGCCCTGACCTCATCCCTACTGATCACCTTTGGGATGAATTGGGGATTGTAAGCCCGGGTCTTCTCATCCAACTATCAGTACCTGACCTCAACAACCTGACCTCAACCACAGACACCCTCCAAAATCTGGTGGAAAGCCTTCCCGGGAGAGTGGAGGATGGTATAGACACAAAGGGGGCAACTCCACATTAAAGGAGAACTATGAGGGGGGGGAGGTATGTACGTTTTTGTATGTCAGTGGAGGAGTCCTGATTGGCCCTGACTGACCCCTGGCAGAGATGTACAGCTCCATGTTCTGATAACAAGGGCTCACGGGAACGAAGTGGAATGGGTAGGGACCGTGATTGGGTCAGTGGCAGTCATGTGACTACACTGGTTTGATGTCTCTTGTTGTTACTGACCTGCGGTGGGATAATATCGAAGAGATCTCCGGCCACGGCGTACTCCTGGGCGAAGGCGTAGAAGTCCTCGGTCTCGAAGGCGATGTCATGCATGCCGATGATGTACGGGCACGAGGAGAGGTAGCGGGAGATGCAATATTCCTGCAGGAAACTCCTCTGCTTCGTCGTCTTCTTCCGCAGGAACTTCAGAGCCATTTTGGTGCCTGCGGGAAGGGAGAAGACCTCACGAAAGGACGGCCATGACACCCCCTCCAATGACAGCGCTGGCTGTGATATAAAATGTCATCTTTTTGTGATTTGGGGGTCATTTATCAGCACCTGGGGAGGGGGGAGATTACAATCCAATGACAACAGATCTCCGGCTCTGAGATGATGCCACCGGGGGGAGGTCTGTATGCAAATACAGCCCTGCCTAGGACCGCCCACTCCTCCAGACTGACACCCACCCATCAAGGTATTTTGATATTTGCATAACTCAAGGAGGAAGAGGGGGGGGGGTGGGGGGTCCGGGGAAGGCAAACTATAAGCAGATTACCTTTCAGGTTTCACTTCCTGTCCCCGAGATCAACAGGACGTGAGGGGAAATCCCCGTTACAGTTGTCACCAGAACAGGTGACCCCCATTGGAAGATTTGCAAATCGTCAGAGAGAGAAAGTGAACCGCCCCAATGATGAAACCCTGACAGGGGGTCTAACTCTTCCAAGCTCCGCCCACAAATCAAATTAACATTTTGTTTTAGATGAACTTTAAAGAAAACTGCCATGTCTGTCCTCACACACCATCACTGACGTGGAACAAGCATGCAGTCACTGAAGTCTGAACTCTTGTTCTAGGTCAGTCACTAGGAGAGTATTGAAGAAAAAGGATGAGCATGACAGCCAAAGAATGAATGAGATCTACAATGTCAGCTTCCAAATCCCTCTCAGTACATTTCCTCATGTTCATCCTCTATTCCGGTAGTTCTGGCCCAGAGGAGATGATACAACCTTTGAGCTGCAGATGCCCCCGCGGAGGCTGTCATGCCCGTCCCCATGTGTCAATGTCTACTAAATTCCTCACCTCTGGCCTTGTGGATGACCAGGTCCACTCTCCCATACGTCCCCTTGCCCAGCTCCCGGATGACCTCGTACTGCTTCGTCACCTCCACCTTCTCCATCGTCTTGGCTGTCAAGGCTTGCAGCTCCTCCAAGATGTCCGCCGCCCCCCGCGAAAGCAGCGATGAGAAGCTCATGGTTGTACGTTGGGCGCCGCAGACTCAGATCAACACAATTCTTCAGCTTTCATCAGATCCGCCGAAATCTGCCTGCGGAGGGTAAAGAAAAGCTCAAGCCAAGAGCTGGACCTGACAGGGGCCCCCACCCTCCCTGTGCTGAGTTCCCGGGTCTGTACCCCCGCTGTGCCCATTATGAGGGGCCCCCACCATCCCTGTGCTGAGTTCCCGGGTCTGTACACCCGCTGTGCCCATTATGAGGGCTCCCTCCATCCCTGTGCTGAGTTCCCGGGTCTGTACACCCGCTGTGCCCATTATGAGGGGCCCCCACCATCCCTGTGCTGAGTTCCCGGGTCTGTACACCCGCTGTGCCCATTATGAGGAGCCCCCACCATCCCTGTGCTGAGTTCCCGGGTCTGTACACCCGCTGTGCCCATTATGAGGAGCCCCCACCATCCCTGTGCTGAGTTCCCGGGTCTGTACACCCGCTGTGCCCATTATGAGGGGCTCCCACCATCCCTGTGCTGAGTTCCCGGGTCTGTACACCCGCTGTGCCCATTATGAGGGGCTCCCACCATCCCTGTGCTGAGTTCCCGGGTCTGTACACCCGCTGTGCCCATTATGAGGAGCTCCCACCATCCCTGTGCTGAGTTCCCGGATCTGTACACCCGCTGTGCCCATTATGAGGGGCTCCCACCATCCCTTGTGTATTTTTTAAATTTATTTTATATTGTGGTGGGCGGGGATACACAGAGGTGGGCGGGGACACGTAAAGGTGGGTGGGGATACACAGAGGTGGGCGGGGACACGCAAAGATGGGTTGCGATACACAGATGTGGGCGGGGATACACAGTTGGGTGGGGATACACAAAGGTGAGCAGTGACACACAAAGGTGGCCGGGGACACACAGAGTTGGGCGGGGATACTCAGAGGTGGGCGGGGACACACAGAGTTGGGCGGGGATACTCAGAGGTGGGCAGG